GGGGGGGGGGCTGGAATAGCAGGGTCAGGAGTCAAGGAACTGCAAACAGGTCCGGGGAGTTGGGGTTTGGGATCCAGAGTCAGCAAAGGAGGAAACCAGCAGGCCCGCGGCCAGGCCCAGGCTCCCCTCGGGACTTGGCGGAGGCACAAAATGTGAGCCATGGACTCTGAGGAGAGGTCACTGGGTTTGATAAGGGAGAGGTTTCTGAGAACCTTGGAGACTACTGGGTGAGTAGTGGACGGGAGCTAGGGTATATGGGAAGAACCAGGGGTCCCCAGGGGTTCACGCTGATGGAAAATGATCATGGAAGGAAGGGAGGGGCATGTTCCGGAGGACTCGGCAGGGGCTCGCAAATGCTTCTTCAAGATCCAGACCAGGGCATTGTCCGCAGAGGTGGGGGAGACCCAGAACGGGGCAGATGCCAAAGGACAGCTGCCAGGAGAGAGGATGGGCAGGAGAGGCCAGGGCAGGCAGAGAGCCGGATGGGTGAGTGTGGAGGTAAGAGGGTGCTTCCCTGAGGAGCAATGGGGAGGAGGCAGGTGCCATCCTCCGGACAGGGCGCCCCCAGAAAGGACAGGGCCCAGCAGGCAGAGGGGCAGGTGGCTGAGCCCCGAGGAGGGTTGCCTCCCTCTTTCACAGTCCCTTCCTGCCTTTTCTTTTTCCTGATGTTTCTCTTTCCTCTCCTCAAATCTCTCTCCTCCACGTAGTTTGTTTTCCTTGTAATGGTCATTATTAGATAGGAGTATTTTTAAAAGTTAACTTTTTCATTGATTTACTCAACCACTGTGTTATTTTTAAAAGCCAGTATATTGAACTCTTTGCTTTTTTCTCTCCATAACAACAGAAACCCTAAACTGTGCAGTTATGTTGCTTTTTCTCTGCATGTAGCTCGCGATTGTTTTCTTTTGCATAGTGGCCTGTAATCTTATAAAATGTTCCCCCACTGAGGCTGAGATGGGCCTTAATAGCCTTTGTAAAACTGCATTTCTCCCCCTTTCCACACTTCTAAATCTGCAGGGCAAACAAATGATCTAAACCCAGTGTGGTCTTTTAAAATGCATTTTTGTACACTCTTTACCTGATGTTTTGGGTGCCCCTCTCTCTGGATGTGGCATCTGGGGCATATGAGGAAGTCTGGTGGGTTGACAGGGGTTTCTGAAGGGTGGGGTACGCTGGGGATGGGTGTGCTGTCCATGTCACTAATGCATGTTGGCCAAATGGTGGGCCAGCCCACCCAATGGGCCTGTGACTGAAGGTACATGGAAGCCAGGAGGCCATCTCCCGACCCACCCAGAGAGCCTTGGCTGCAGCCACTGGGAGCTAAAGGCCAGAGACTAAGAGAACACCTATTGCCCAGAAATCCTGCTCCCAAGGAGAGGGCACCACCCTCCAGCGGCACCGAGACCTTCCCAGCCGGGCTCCCCTCCTTCCAGAGGCCCCTGTCTACCTTAGGAAGGCAAAGGGACTTCTCTCCTTTCCCCTTGGCTTCAAACGTCTGAGTCAAAATAAATCATATGCACTTTTCTCTTTTTTTGACATTTACAGAGCTCAGCAGTCAGCCCCACTCCGGATATTTCTTCGGAGCCTCCTGGATAGTAAGTTGCCACTTTGTCTACATGGCTTCATGTATGAAATGACAAAAATGGGGAGAAGCTTGTGTTGGACTCAAGTGGGTTTTATATGTAGCCGCGNGTCTACATGGCTTCATGTATGAAATGACAAAAATGGGGAGAAGCTTGTGTGTTGGACTCAAGTGGGTTTTATATGTAGCCGCGTAGTGGCTATAGTTTGGTAATAAGTAGCGATTCAATTCTAGTCTTCAGGTTTTTTCTTCTTTCTCTTCCAATTGGTTTGTGACGATTCATATGAACTTCGGTAAGCTTTTCCCTGTGTGGTCGTCTCTGTCTTTAAAATGTGTGTGTTTGTCTGAGTTTAGGATCAAAGTTCACCTCATTTGCTGATTCTTCCAGGGAGATGTGTGACTTCGTGACTACTTGGGGGGGACTCGAGTCCTTGGGCTGGACCTGTCACAGGGAAAGGTGGGGCCGAGAGGGGGATCACTGGTCTGATTCTCAGAGATGTAGCTTTAATCCCCATACCAGTTCTTGGGGTTCTCCCTGGGTGATGTGTACACACCTCACTCGCTTCTTCCTGGGGCAATGTTCCCCAAACCGGTTATCCAGCATCATCTCCAAATCTCCCCCGAAAACCATCCCGCAAACCCTCCTGCATCCGCTCCCAGACTGTTTGTCTCAGAGCCCTGCCAGGCAGCTGCTGCCCCAGCGAAGCCGGTTCCGTGCTGGGCACCCCCGCACCCATGGTAGAGCACAGGCGTTCGAGCCCCTGAGGAGGCCCCGGCTGAGCCTGTCCATACCCAGTCACGTCAGGACCTCTCATGGCACTGACTTCTGCTGAAGGCCTGAATTGTGTTACTGTGCCTCTATAACTCTGATCAGTTACAAACTCCTGACGAGCAAGGCCTGTGTCTCCATCGTGCCTGGTGCCCCACAGACCCGGAGTTTGTTCTGTGGGAGCAGCTCCCTATCTCATCGCCATCGTATCCGCATCTTCTTCGAAGGATGACTAGAAGGGGGGGCGCAGCTCTCGCCTGTTCCATTTGGTTGGGCAGATCCACAATGAGCAAGTCTACCTGTTCAGGCAGAAGCCTGCCTTGACCTGAATGCGGAGTTTATGGGTGTTTGTGGCAAGTATTATAGTCACTTGGGCATTTTGCAGGAGTAGTTTCATTTGAAGATCAGTTAGCCAGGATTGGAGTATTTCACTGGAAAACTGGAAAAAACCTGAATCCTTTCTAGAGTAGTGACCAGATCTCTAGCCAGATCTATACTGTTAACATTTCCTCTATAAATGTGTATCTTAATGGTTATGGTTAACATACCTCAGAGTGTAAGAAGAAATTGAGACGCTATATTAGGACAGCAGCTAGGGGAAAAGTTTCCTGTCTTAAAGGACAGTTCCGTCTCGGAGGAGGTCGGGTATAAAGTCTCTTGCGCTCACTGTGGGGTTGACGATCAGGCCACCAGTATGACAGAGGAATCAAAACTCAGCTGTATCATCAGGACCCTCCCCCCCTTCACTTCAGGCTCTGAGGCTCACTCTTTTAAGGAGCTAGTTGAACTACACCTTCAGCCCAAAGGATGACCTGTCACAGGCCCTCTAGGTCCCAGAGACATGCCTTCGGAGGCTAAGCCCACCAGAGGACCTCAGGCTCCCTGCAGGTAAGGGGCTTCTTCAAGGCCACAGCTCTCAGCAAACTCTCCCTGGTCCCTGAGGTCACCTGTTTGTCAGTGGCAAAGCTTGTCACTGTGCCAGTCCTTACTGCCCAGTGCCTGATCGGACCAGATCTCTCCCTGCCCCTGTCATTTCCAGGATTGCATAACATTAGCCCTGCTGCCTGGTCTCCCCCCTCTGCCTCCTCACCCCATCTCCCTGAAATCCGCAAGACAGAAAGGCTGTTTCAGGTGGCCAGCTGAGTAGATTCCTTAGCTCCGCTGGATCAAAGGCACTGTGCTAGGTATTATGATAGGAACATAAGAAATAGTCCCTTAATAGTGTGGGGGGTAAAACACACCAAAAAAATGAATGTTAGTAAATAAGAAAGCAAAGTGACAAGTGATTGAAGTAGACTGTAAGGATTAAAAGTATTCAGAAAAGAAAGCCGTGCCCAGGGGCTGTCAGAGTTGGGCACACAGGTCTTCAACGAAATGGTGACTAATGATTTATTCAGCATTTACTATGTGCCAGACCTTATGCTTAGCATCTTATATAATTCACCTCAGTCCCCTCAACATTCCAGGATCAGGCATTATTTTTAATCTTCATTTTACAGGTGGGGAAGCAGGCAGCGTAGTGTCCAAGGATCCGCAGCTGGTAGGCAGAGCTGTTCCTGCGCATACTAGACTAGCAACAGTGAAGTCCTAGGCCAGGGGCTGGTGCTGGCGGTAAACTCACCTGCACCACACTGATTCAAAGTTGGGTAATAACTTAACAGAAAGCATGCTATAATTTTTACTGTCTTTTGAATGATTGGAAAAACAGTTTAAGCAACTATTTGTAATATTGTGTTAGCAGGATTGAGAGGGACTAGTGCTAACTGCTTAAAAGAGCAGACTCTGAGTATCTGTGTGCAGAAAGATATCTGATGTGTTAGTTTACCAAGCACTCTTATTTATATCATCGAAATAGGTCTCCAGAGACCTCTGTTTTTCTGCCTTAGCCTAGCTCAGGTGAAATACTTGGCAGGAATAGATGAGGTTTTTTTCCTCCTGCTATTCTACCATTTGGGAATTTATCAGTAATTCAGGCTTGGTTTTCTCCCAGTTTGTTCAAATGAGTAAGGTTTTTTGTATTCGGAATTGGTGAGGAGCCAGCTTAAGTGTAGAGCCTGACACATAGGAAAGTGCACAGTTAATGTTTGCTGAAGAAATGGATGCATCTGTAAGTCTTAATTAACTAGGGTCGAGCTCCCTCAGCACCAAGGCAGGCAACTGGTGGGCTGAATCTGGCCCCTTTCACTGGATCGACAGGAATGACCTGTTGAAAGAAACATTGGCAGGACTTGACTTAACCCAAGGACTAAAGAAAGGGGAGTCATACCTGGCTGGGTGTGGCTCAGCAGGTGAGCATCGACCTGGGGTCCAGGAGATTGTGGTTTGATTCCCAGCCAGGGCATTTGCCTGGGTTGCAGGCTCCATCCCCAGTAGGGGGCGTGCAGGAGGCAGCCGATCGATGACGACTCTCATCATTGATGTTTCTATCTCTCTCCCTTCCTCTCTCTGAAATCAATAAAGATATATTAAAAAAGAAAAAAGAAAGGAGTCACAAATCGCCCAGGTTCAAAAACTTTGTGGTCAGTGGAGAAGTGATGGTGTTGTTTTAAATCCATTTTCATATCTTGGACAGATTTTAGTTTAGAATTTTATTAATTAACCTGATTGCATATCACAATATTAAAAGAACCTGGGAACAGCAAGGAAAAAATTCACCCATTGTCCCAGTATTCTAGTGCCAGTCCTTCCTCTCAAAAAATACATTTTTGTAGTTGTGATCCCAGTGTATGTCAGATTTTGTGTTTTATTTCTTAGAGTTACCAGATGTATAAGTCAGCTGTGTAGCCTACTCATTTCCATCGCGGCTTAGCCGGCAGCAGCGAGCAGCAGAGTACATGCTTTGCCAACCAAAGCGCTTTACTCTGTTTGGCCAGCAGGGGGCACTCGCGCCGCTGTGTTCCTAAGTGGTGATGGTGCACTAGGAAAAACACCCTTTTCCCTTGATCTAACCTAAGGTCACAACACAAATCATTACCTGGAGAACTTGATGAAATATTAGAACCTTCCCGGAGCTTAAAATCTGTGTGTATGTAGGCATTAATTTATGGAGTCATTTATTCCACTGATATTTATTGAACAACAGTGCTAGGCACCAGCCATGCAAAGATTAATCAGATAAACTGCCTGCCCACAAGGAAAAAATCCGAGTGTAATGGGGAGACAGAGGTGTAAATAACAATCAGAATCCAGCGTGGTACATGCAGTGAGGGGACCCGGGAGGGCCGGAGCGCCTGTGCTGTGGAGGAGGGAAAGCAGGCTTTAGAGAGGAGCAGCAAATAAAAAGTGAACAATAGCATTATATTGTAAGTAAAAAAAGTAAGTTTTATTCACATAGTACAGAAGGCTGGAGATTGCCCAGAAGCCCTTCCCCATAGCCACAGTTAAAAACAGTTACTTTTTTTGTTTCTTTCTAAAAACACCAAGTGGCTTTGAACAGTGAATTTCATGAGGCTAGAACTCTGTTGTCTGTTTTATTCCTTGTTGAATCTCCACCTAGGAGAGTGACTGATGTAGTAGGTGCTCAATAAATACTTGTCGAATGAGTAAAATGAACCATAGAATGAGGCGATGCAATCTTTTCTAGAAATATTGTTGGCAGTGGTTTGCAAAAATGACTGGAGGGAAACGGGGCCACAGACCGGGGGAGCGATGGTGTGCTTCTTGCAGAGGTGTGGGTGAGTGGTGGGGAGGTGGGGCCCAGGGAGGCAGAGACCCAAGGGATCACCGTGAGGACAGGGAGGGAGCAGGACTTGGTGACTCGTTCGGTTTGTGGAGCAAGGAGAGGGAGAAGAGGCTGGTTTTCTGGGCTTTCTGGCTTGGGTGATGGGAGGTGGAGGAATAGAGCTGGGTTTGGTTTGGGACATGTTGGGTTTAAGATGCCTGAGGAACACCTAGGTGGAGCTGTCTGGAAGGCCCAGTTGAATGTATGTGTTTGGAGCGCAAAAGAAAGGTCTGTGTAGGTAACAGATTTGAAGGTGGACTTTTGGGACAGTCCCACCACACCTAGTAGTTTTGCAAATGAAGGAAATGGAGGCTGAAAGAAACAGACTGTTTCCAAGTTTTTAAACTGAGCGGGCTTGCCTCCGCTGGTCCACGTTCCTCGTTGGAGTCAGGCTGGAACCCCAGCTGCCAGGACCCTGCCCACCTCTTCCAGAGCCCGCCAGTGAGCACGTTGGAAACATTTGGCCCTAAAATGATTGCTCTGTTCTCTCACTTTATTCTTCGAGTGAGTGGTTTTGTTGAATCCCCTTGGAACTCAGCAGCCAGCTCTGCATCTTCGCCAGGGGGTAAGTTCTTTTCACTGTCTCCTGCCGGCTGGCTCCTTCTCAACCCAAAGTTGCATCAGCCCAGGCTGCCGAGAGCTGAGCTTCTGAACCTGACTTGCTTTGTTGAGTACACGGTGACTTGGGACTTTCTCAGTCAACCTGAGGGTACTTTTCTCGCCCTCTCTGATCTGTTTGAACACAGCAAAGACCCAACAGCTCTGTGACAAATGCCTTCACCACTCTGGTCCTCAGTTTCCCCTTTGGTACAATGAACCAAGGATGTCTATCTTTCCAATGAGGAGATCTGATGAAGGCGATACGTTTAGAAACACGGGGCCAGAGCTTTTAGCTATTGTTTTTAAACAAGTTGCCAAGTGTTACCATCTGGGAAAAGCATGTCGGCTTTGGTATCAGAAAGAAAACAATTGGCCATAGCAAGTCCATCCTGAGAGGTTTCCTGAGTGCTGCTGGCTTGTCGTTCTGGTGGGAAGCAGGAAAAAATGGTGATAATAGGTGGAATAAAGCCAGAAAGTGGGGTGGGGGAGGTGGGGAGCTCTGGCAGTGGGTGAGGCAGAGGAGGTGTGGAGTCAGCAGCAGCCGGTGTCCTGTCCGAGAAGTTAGGAGGAGCTGGGGGAGGCTGGGCTGGATGTTCTGACCGAGGCCGAGGCGGTGTAAAGGACAGCGGGATAGAAGCCACTGTCAGAGTCGCCCCGTGCTGAGGCTGGTCGCCCCAAACCAGGGCTTTAGAGACTCTCCCCTCACAAGAGCAGCTTCAGTCACACTTGGTTGGCAAGGCTAACGGACGTCTGTACGTGGATCCTTTTGTAGCCGAGATGTACACAAAGGAGAACCATTCGGCTAAGCTGAAGGACAAAGTCAGAACTGCAGCCAAAAAGAAAGGGAGGTCTAGGAAAAGAGGCAGATTTTTTCAGTTAGGAAATTCAAAGTGAAAGTCAGTTTAGATGCGCTTACACTGACTTAAATTGGTATATAGTGCCACAGCCTTGCTAGTCTCCTTTAGGGGTCTTCCCCGCTAAGCCAGGGACATCGGTAGATGCGCCCTGCGGGCAGAAGCAGGAGAGCCCAGAGCTGTCTGGTCGCAGCCCTTGTCCCTCGGCGTGGCCCCCACGCCTGGGAAAGCCAAGCCTGTTTGTCTCTGGGGTGGGAGTGGGCCCCTCCAGGCAGGGGCCCCCCCCACCAGGTAGACAGCCAGCCTGAGCCTGGGCCACCCCAATCCCCTGCCGTCTTACTCTCTCCGCTGTTCCAGTGACTCCGTGGTCACTGATGTCAGGAGCTCAGAACCCTAAGCGAATGTGATGTCATTCTTACACTTGTGGGAGAATTTCTAAGTACATCATTTCACAAATCAAAACATGGTCTTAGTCAGATCGTGGGTGCCAATTTTGTTTTCACAAAATGTGACCTTTTATTCATTCAACAAGTATTTACTGAGTGTACTCATAGACCGTAAAGTCAAGTGGGCTCTTAAAAACAAGGGCACAGCCGGGGAAGGAGAGCGCAGTCCGGCCCCACCTGGAGGTTCCCCTCTCTGAGACGCACGCCCCGGAGCTGCTCTGCGGACTCACTCCACCCGCCTGCTTTTACGTTCTCAGCTCTGAGGGTTGGTTCTGTTTTCCCGTAGATCCCCAGTAATGCTCTTCTCTCTTGGCTGAGGAGAGGGAAAAGCATTCAGTCCCCTGACCTAGGCTGAAAGGATGAGGGGGGACCTGGCCACCGGGGCAGTCCCCTGAGATAGAGCGAGGAAAACCCTTAGCACTGGTGGTGCCTGCATGGAAAGGTGGCTCCTGTGAGGGGTGCTAATTGTAGGAACAGTGGTGTTGCTCGGGAGCTTGGCCACCCTGAGGTGGAGACATGGCCTGTTTTAACACAGAGCCTCCACCTCTTTGCTGTGTCTGACTCCTGGTCTGGAGCTGCTTGTCCCAGGCCTACATTTGTGAAAGGTGGCGCTCGGCGGTTCTGATGTACAACAGTTTGAGTGCTGTTAGGCCCGTTGCCCATGATGTGCGAGCCTGGGCTCTGGAAGGGCACTGTCTCCACAGTGTCTCCGTAGGAAATGTTCTAGAACGCGGCTGAGAACTCTGTGTGGAGCGGCGTGTTGTGGCTCAGGTTCCAGGCCTGCCGTCCACTAAAGCTCGCCTGCTTCCACCAGAGCCCCAGTCACTCAGTGTCAGGCTCTTCATCTGAAAACGGGAAAGTGGGATTGTTTGTGAGGATCAGAGGAATTCCGTCGTGATCACTGGGTAATGGGAAGGAGATGGACAGATGTGTGATAAAGCAGACGCAGCCCAGTGGACCTTGTAGAATTGGGGGGTGGGAGACATGGGTGTTCACTATTGTATCTCCTTAAGCATTTCTACACACGTGATAATATTCATAGTAAAATATTGGGATGAAGAACACACCAAGCTGTTGACATCTTTAGAGCTGAGAGATCCATATTGAAACCAGCAAACCGGACTCGGTAGGACTTGAGAGCAGCCTAGCAGAAGCCTGAGCACTTCTGCAGGACGAGCCCTTCCCTCACCTGTGAGTGTGTGCATCCCCGTGGCAGTGTGTCAGCGGGTGAGGGCATAGAAAACGGGGACCAGGGGAAGGGAGCGGGTCAGTGAACACGTCCTCTTAATTCTTTCTGAGCCCCACCTCATTCCAAAAAGGATTTGCAGTACTAACTTGCAAAAGTACCTAGAATTTCAACAAGATAAAAGTAAATGAAGGCTACATCAGTGAGTGAGGGATATATCAATAGTTGAGGCTCATAATTCATGTCATAATGTTCTGAATATGAATTTTGAAAGCAGTGGGTGCAGAGTGTGGTTAGTGTAATAAAAGCACAGAGAACCCAGTTTCCATTGTCACTCGGTGGCAGGTTTTCCTGGAGACCCAGGACAGCTGGGCTTCCTCTCTATGGTTGATTTTAATGCTCCATCGGCCAAAGAAAAATAGCTCAGAAAAATAATCCAAGTGGTGGACTTGAAGTCGCCAGTGCTGGCCGGTGACATGTCGGAGGCTCCACTCATGTTCTTGACAGCCCCCATCTGTGTGCAGCGCCTGGGGCCCCAGCACCCCTCCGCCCCCCCCTTCCAGTCTTAT